AGACCTCATATAAGTACAGTTTTTTTCCCAGGCAACTGGTTTAACATCAACTTGTTGCAAGTTGATGTTGCATTTCCTCATCCTATTCTCACAGACTATGAATAATTTTGATTTAGTTTTTTATTTGGGAACAAATTATGGGGGCAAAAATATTCTTTTAACCAGACACATTTGAACAAAATTGAAAGGAAATGTGTGCAGTAATCTTTATGTGCAGGGAAAAAGAGGTCTGCTTTCTTTATGCTTGCCAGATTACATCCCAAGAAAATGAATGTGAACCACCTCTTTATATGCACTTATGATTAATTTAAATGGAGCAATGCAAAGTTAAACATGGAGGACTTTGAGGATAAGTTTCATTCAATGTTTACCTGAAGAACTGCCTGAATAAAATGTGAACTGTCTTGTTTCCTAAGGTTGCCTTCAAAAGCAAATTACACCTTGTACATAATCAGAATAAATTTCTCCCTTGCTATCCCAAATATATTTGACTTATTGTGTTTCAATAGTACCCCTGTACAGCTCTATTTTTCCAGCATACATCACCTCTTCACCCCATTCAGTGCAGCAAAATAAATGGTTTCCAATGGCAATGAAAATTGCCTTTCTAGTTATTAGTTCATTTGACTTGAGGCAAATTTTTAGCAGAGATTCTCAGGGTTTGATCTTGTTTCTGACCAGGAATGTCTGGTCCAAAAGTCAGTCTGCTTAACAGGAGGATACTGAGTTCAAACTGGCTTTCAGAATGAGGCTTTCAAACCTCAGTGACTGGAGAAAAGAAAATTACACATATTTTGCTTTGATCTTTCAAAAAGACCAAGGAATCTTTTCATATGGGAAATTAGGTAAACAGGCAACTCTTTCACTTTTCTAGAAGCCAGCCAGACTCTTCCAGATTTCTCCCACCATTTTCAATTAACTGTGGTGTCAAGTGGTTAAGCAAGAAAAGGCTGAGAAAAATCCCCACAGTGCATGAGCTGCATGGCCCACCTGCATGCCAAACAGCATCACCCAAAAATACACGCACAAATTTCCCTCTCTACACCTTCCGGTGAGAATTGCTTTCCACAGAAGTGAGCAACAATTACATGAGCTAAAAAGGATCTCAAACATTCTTGCAATACTGTGAGACTAAATTAGGGGCCTTCTCTCTGCTGTGCTACTTTTCCTCAGACAGAAGCACACACAGAGCTCTTGGCTGCATTATTGACTTGCTGTCTGTCTGTGAAGTTGGTTTAAGAAGTGAATGTTGGTTTAATTTTAAGGAAAGTTTGTTTAAGCTATGCTCCTACCACAGAAGTGGAAAAAAAAAAACCATCTGTAACATCAACTGAAAGAGTTGGGTCAGTAGGAACTTCAGCACATCCTGGCATGCCTGTTGTAGTAATCCGTATATTTTAAGGCAGTTGCTTCAGGCTTTGAGTGATAGGTCCTTATTACAAGGAGCTTCACATCCCAGTATCCCTCATTCCTGCTCACTCCCTGCTCCCTGCCATGCACTGCTGACTTGTCTGTTCATGGGGCCACAGCGTGGATTGAACCTCAGAATTTATATGGCTTTTTGAAAAACAGTCCTCATTGTGCATGAAAAGGTTTTATTTTAAAGCCAGATTTGTTCAGAGTAAAGCCTCACAAGCAATCAAATATAAGGAAGAGTTGGAGAATGGGGGAAGACAATGATAATGATTTCTGACAGAGCCAAGAAAGACAGAGTTACAGCCTAAGACTAAGACTTGCAAAGATTTATGATTGTCCTATGTAAAATACACTACAGAAAGTGAAGATGACTTATGTTTTTTATGAGAAATATTTGCTGCTCGCATTTTCTATTGAAGGGATTGAAGAACCTTCCTCCTCAAAATTAAAAGAGCTACACAGACAGCTGTCCTTGCTACCTTCCCATTTTTAGGAAAAAAAAATTAGAGGTAAAAAAAGTAAACCTGGAGGCATCACCTAGTTTAATTTGCAATACTAAATGTCAAAGGAGCAAAGTTTACAAGAATCTCTCAACAGTTTTTGTGTGTTTTAAATCTGGAAGTCTTAAGTAGGGATTTAACAACACAACTTCAGATCCACCTTTTAAAACATTAATCCACTGTAGACAAAGATAATTATTAAGTTCATAAGGAAAGATTCTAAAAAGAAGCTTTTTATTATGAAACTGTTGATTCTAGCCAGTCTTTTCTTACACTAGACCAAAAAGAGACTTATAAATTTATCTGCTGATGGGACTACCAAAGGAATGAAACTAACAGACGTCTTTTTGACTCTCCATCCAGCTTTGGAGGAAAAGAGCCTCCCTCTCCATGGAAAACATTCACAGAAGCCTATTGATCAGAATATGAACATAAAGATCAGAAGAGTCTGGTTAATAATCTAATTACTGAATGAAAATTAACTAAAGATAATTAATGAAACTGGCCAGAACTACCTTCTATGTGTGAAAAGGACTAGTTTCTATGGGATCTTCTAAAATTCTACATCAATAAAAATTGCAAGGAGCAGGATTCAACAATTTTTTTTCTGTTTTGAAATAATACCTGTGAATGTAGGACACTGAGTTGAGTGGGATATTTAGAATGTTATATTACAAGATACCATAGTAAAATGAAAAATAATTGCAACATAAATACATAAATATATATATATATATATATATATATATATATATATATACTCTGTCTTTTGCCTATTTACTCAATTCCTTTTCGTTAGCATTCATGTGTAGGGTTTTTTAAAGGTGATTTAAAAAATGCAAGGAATAACATGTGCCATAGTCTTTGGTAAGTGTACTAAACATCAGACATTGTCACATTTCAAAGTACCTTGGATCAGCTAGTATTTTTCTATTCCATCATAAATACATCTGTTCTATTGTAATAAAACTTTTGATGCTTTTTACCTGGAGAGTCTATTCATCATCCCTACCAGATTATGCAACTATATGATAGGACTATAAGGTTCACCCAAGTTTAATGCTCTTCCACTAAAGTCCAAAATTATTTTACTGTGCTATTAAGGAGGCCTCAGGTTTTAATAGTGTTTCACCTACCATATCCACTTTAATAATGGCAGAAGCAAGCACATGCTGTACTATATATATAATTTTGTTTTTCTCCTTCTTCACATTTAGCTCTTTCCTCATTTACTTCTCATCTTGCCCACAGCATCTATATCCCACTCCAACCCTTGTGTCCCTATTCCCATCTTTCCAGTGCACAGTACAAAGTTCCTCTGCTGTAAGATTAACGTGCCATATGCTACCATCTGCTCCAAAGAGTGTCCTCAGAAAGTGGAAAAAGTACGTATTTTCACTCTATGAAGAATCAGACTTTGAAACAAGCATGACTATTCCCACACTGAATATAAAAACATCCCCTCTCAATAAGGAGAGATATAAAAGTTGTTCATTGCAAAAACTAGATGAGTCATCAAAAGTAGTCAGATATAAAATCTTATGCTATTTTTAGTGGCATTATTTTTGACCATGAGGTTATTCATACATATTTGTGGAGAGAAGGCTGCACACCTAACCATGCCAAAGGTATCAGCTGGTACAGAATACCCTCACTACATGATGTCACATAGAGTGATTTATACACTGTTTTGAACACTGAAATTTTAAATTAAACTGTTACTGTATTCATGCATCCCCATACAAAAGAGGCTTCAGCTATTTACCAGCTCTCACTATCATGATGGAAATGTGGTTGCCACAATCTGCATGCAAATTCTAACTTTTATTTTTTTAAATACTGCAGAATAAGTTCTCTGCCTATCTGTAGGAGGAAAGAGATCTCGACATTATACCATTGGACCAGCATCTCCTCAGAAGGGGCTTTGAATAGTATAAAGCCTGCCAGAGAAACATACTCAATGTGTGGGAAGGACAATCTGCTCTCTATTGGTTGTAATAAAGCCAGCAGCATCTGCCACTGTTCGGCAACGTCATCACCACTACTCAATCTCTAAACATTTTTGATTCTCAGTTTGTATTCTGAGCCTGCCATTCAGCATCTGTCTATTTAAACAGAGGCAATGCGGTGAGGTTCTAAAACTCATCACAGAACTTAATTCCATAAAAGTTCTTAAATGGGGATGTCATTAGGCAGGGGCTGATAAAACTTGCTCTTAAGACAGTATCAAATTCTAGTCCTTCTAGCAAGATTAACTCAATTCTATCAGTAAAAGGAATAATGAAATCAAGTGAACTTTTCCATAGCATTTCCCTTTAATCACATACTCTTCTAAACTCTTGATAAAAGGTTTAAGTTCTATGTCAAATAAATAAAAAGAGGAAAGCAATTTAGCACACAGTTCTGATTTTCTGGATGCCTGATGGAGCATAAATATGTGAGAAAATTTAAGGAAACTTCCCTTGCTCTCTTCCAAAACCAATGCCCATAGGCAGAGGAAGAAATGGTGAAATACTCCATGGAGTACTGTAAAAAGTATGGCAAGATATCTGATCTTCAGAAGCTGGGAAAACTTGCATTCATATATTAGCCAGAATTGTGTGTTTCCTATTACCTGTGCCTCTGTGGCTTAGACATTAAACAGGAACACATTCTGACTCAGCTAGTTTCAAATGATGATTTAGCTCTCATCTGCACTATGAAAACCAGATGCTTTCTCACTACCCATTGATTCTAAAAGTCATAATTATTATTCTACATAAATACATTGATTCGTAGATAAAGAAAAATAAATAAATATCAACTAAATTAAATTAAGTTTAGAGACTCCAGATCAAGCACTTTTACCAGTGAGTGGCCCTAGAGCACACACCATCCTATGTTTCAAAATTTATTTTCAGCCATTGACAACATGATGCTACTTCAGACCCACAGAGGACATAAAGTTATTATGAAGCAAAGTAAAGGTCTATACTATTGACACCTGACTGGTAAAAACCCAATATCAAACTGTCATCATCCATCAATTAGACCACATCAGAGTATTTCAAAGGCATTTTTATGTGGTAATAAGAAACCTCTTACCTTCAGTGTGTACAGCAGAAACATAGGTCCAGTTATAGCGTTTGACGATGTCCACCATCGCTTTTGCTTGCTGCGCGTCAGATGGCACCACTCTCATAAAATACTTGAACAGAGTTTTGTCACTTAGGTCCATGCTTGTGGCAGAATAAGCAATCTGAGGTATATTGAAAAGCTGTAACAAGTTCTGGACCTGGATAGCAACAGAGCTGGAGCCAGGCCCAATGACACCAACAATGGGTTTCTTGGAGCGGAAAGACGATGATGATCCATCCACACATCGCACCATCCCTTCCTCTTCTTCTGAAGAAATAAGAGAGTCCCTTATAAACTCGATGCTCTGCTCTAGAGCCACAGCAGAATGCCAGCAGGAGTCCCTTATTTCACATCCTAATGTTATATTTGGCAATAGCGTGGGGTCCAAATTAATTCTGTCAAGGGTATGTAGCATTGCCTCCACTCTCTGAATACCGTACTGCTCTCTTACCTCTCCACATTTCCTCTCATGGACTTTGTCAACAGTTGGTTGGTGATGGACAGAGAATAGAGCTCCAATGATAATATCACCAGGCATGTGTGCAACCACTCTTCTCTCATTTGCCTGTGCTGAAACCAAAAGCCCAATGTTCCCGCAGACATCTTCCTTCAACAGCAGGATTGCAAGGAACAGCAAAAGGACCATTTTAGGAAATTTTAGGCTGGTAGAGACAACATGATGGAAAAAAGTTGGAGAGCGATGAAAAGTAGTTATCAAATCTTCTGGATAGCAGGATCACTATGCTGATTGTTAACCAGGAGTTGGCATCTGTTCTCTAAGTAGTCACCATCATCTCCAAGTGGATAGCTATGCAGAGCTGCACATGAGGTCATAATCCTCATACCCTTCAAAAATTAATAAGAAAAAGATCTTTAAAATTATTTATAAAGTCAGTATTATAGATAATCTTATCTATTAAGACACAATATCTTGTAATCTTGTCTAAAATTGCACCTATTTCTACAAATATCAGTGCCTATAATACATTTCTACTGATTATGCTTGCTTTCATAATTTTTAAGCTGGAAAACTTTATCTCACTTGAGAGTTTCACAATCTTAGATTTGTACTTCTGTCGGTTTAAATCAACATCTTCCTTTTGACAATTGTTTAAAATTCTTTGGGGAAATAGTTTCAAATGCACAAAAGACTGGAAAGTATTTACTTCTACAGAAGAAAGGTGTGCTGCCATTCTAATAGGTGTCTTTGAAATAAAATCCCTTTAATTTCAGACACTTTTTATATCTCTAATATACATATGCCACACTAATGTACCCTGGACTGCACTCTATTATCCGTTCCAGCACTAGGAGACTGCTGTTGACACACAAAGCTGCTATTCTAAGGAATGAATAATGTATAAATCTGTTTTTATTTTGCAAGATACAGCATGAAATAAGTTGGCTTTTAAACAAGATTAAGAAAACTGACTTTGTTATTAATATCTATATTTGTTTTAAGCAAAGAAAAAATAATTCTCAAACAGCAAAGCAATTAAATTATTTTCACTTTTTTACATCCTTACTTCAAAAATCATCAAAAAGTAATTTGAAAACTCCTTATACTGTACACAACCCTACAGACTTCACTGGTATCAAGAAGTCAACACAAAGACTACAGATGCACTAATCCCCAAAATATTTGATCAGCTACATTTACCTATAGATTGCAATGCAATCTGCACTCATCTTTACTGTTGCTAAAGGATAAATAAATAAGTCAGCAAACACTTCACATCTTGGGTTGTGGTTAACCTGTGGAACTAGGAAATGCACTTGAAAATGTTCTGCACCTGGCAGTGGATTTGCAGCAGAAGGTTTCCAGTTTCAAATATAGTGCTTAAAGAGTTGTTTGCCAGGTCTTGATCCCTGAGCACATTAAATACCATCTCACCTGCCAGTGAATACACTAGCAGTACAGAAAGATAAGTGCACTCTTAAATCTAAGATGCTGAGCTACATAGTGAACCAATATGTTCAAATTAATTTTTAACAAAACAACTGCAAAATTCTGGAGAAGACGCCAATCTCAGTTTTATTGACGTAAATCTTTTGATGCAATAAAAAAATTAAAATTCCATACATTTCTGACATCACTAATGACTTCTAATCCATTTACAATGACTCTAAGAGGGCCTACATATTGTAAAGTGAAAGAAACCATTGTGAAAATCTACCTCTGTTTTTTTGAGTTGAATATCTCACAAGATTTTAATCTTGAATTTACTCCTCACAGCTAGTTCATTCAGTATAGTGACACAGTGAAGCTCTTCCTAATTCAGAAGACGAGACACAAAAATATAAAAACATTCTTCTGCTTGATGCTAGGCTCTCTTTTATTTTACCTAGATGCATAAATTATAAATTATTTTCACAGAAGAGTGAGTTTGAGTGCGTATTCCCAAAGAAAATGCAAATTCTTAAAAAGAGGAAGCATTTAATATAATATTCAAATATTAATTTCCATATTAATAAGTTCATGTAATATTAATGTTAGTAATATAAAGTGTTAGTAGTAAAATAATATTCGGACAACTGTAAAACACTTCAAGGAGGTTTGGGGTTTTTTTATTCTGTGAAGAGTTGGCTTATCAATACTGCAACCCTTTGCCACTAAGGAAAAACAGCAGCTCACTTCAGGTTAATTAGTCCCTAATTACAGACTATCACTATTGCTTATGTCTTGCAATTATTTATTCCATCACTCTGAAGTTGGTACCATATAATTTGAAACAGTCAAAAGGATGAACTACAGGGGATATCGTTATACAAGATCACAGTTGTTAAATCCCTATACCTTTAATTAATTGAATGTATTATGACTTTAAAAAAATATTATTTCTTTATAAACTTACTAACATTTGAACAGAAATAGTACTCTGCTACTTAACACCATGGATGCTTATTTTCTGAACTTCTCAAATTAAGGCTACATATCCAGAAGACAACTGCCAGCTCTGCTGAAGACCGTAACTGGATATGCAATTAAATACCTTTTTATTATCTACCTGCCTTTGAATCTGCAGATGTGCAAATAGAGAGAGTTCAGGAGCTTAGCGTGAGCTCCTGGTACAAAAAAAAATCCAATCCACTGTTTAAATTCTGCAACACATATTCACCAAATATTTTGGTCTTGTGTCTATGGTTTAAAAATTTCCATACAGGATATATGAGAAAGAGAGGAAAGGAAGGCCATTTTTATCTCCCTCACTCCAAAGAACAGCTGTTTACTCTTCTCTGCTTATAGTTGTGTCTATCAGTATAAATTACAGGGTAAAGAATGAGGCAAAGCTGAAGGTCTCCTTTATATTTCTGGTTCCACAGTACTAGAATATGCCATAGCTGGGGGATTCCTATTTCTGAAAGCAATAAAATCTTTCCCTTCCATGACATCTAAGAGGAAGGAAGGGGCCAGACACAGACTGCAGCTGCTCCACAATTAATGAACTGTCTTCACTATATTAAAGCTAAGGTCAGTTTACTTTGGACTTAAAACATTCCTAATTACACTGAGAACACTGCTTCTGTTTTATAGTATTGGCCTTAGGATTCACATCCAAAGAACCTGAAGTCAATATTTTCACAAGGTAATGAAACAACTTGGAGTTTATATTGACAAATATTTCAATGAATTTGTATTGCATAATAGTGACCTGGTTCTCCAGTCTTGCACTCATAAACTTAAGAACAGAATGAATGGTTGAGGTGGAAAGGCACTTATTCAGGAAGTTATGTGATCCATTCCCTCTGCTTACTGTAAGTTCAATTAAAACAGATTTCTTAGTTTCATGTCCAGTCAAGTTCTTAATATTTCTGAGGAAGGAAACACAATAACTTTTTTGGGCAACCTGTTTGACTACAGTCACAGTAAAAAAAATTATTTTTACATATATTTAAACAGAATTTCTGGTGTTTCAATTTGTTTTAATTGCCTGTCATCCTTCTCACGGGCACACCTGGCCATGCCATTAGACAATATCCTGAGAATAATCAGGTAACAAATCCTATTTCAGGCAAAATGGCTGAGCAGAGAGCTGGTGGACTAATTGCACTAATTATATTTCCTGGAGAATGTCTTCCTGAAGAGAAGATGGCCAAGGGAACTATTCAAATATACAATTTCACTGTGCTTCTCTCCCAAAAGAATCACATACAAGTTCCTCCACGTTTTGATTACAATTCTCTCTTACTACAGGCAGCTTATTATTACAAGCAGGATGAGTACTAAAACAAAATTAAGTAAAATTTCATAAGCTTAAATATAACTCTTCTTGAAATTGTTAGAAACAATCCTAAAGGGAATTTGACATGCCCTTAGATTGAGAACAGAGGTATCAGCAGTTTCAAAGACAGTGAAATCCTGAGTGCATGCACAAAGTAATGGGAATTGTTTCCCAGTTAATAATTTATCTCTTTTGATTTCATTGATGGGTAACATGCATAACACTTACGGTCGCATTTATTTTTCACACTGTTCAATTTCTTCATCATCAATGGACTTATCCCAAATTGACAGAACCATAAGTGAAATGGAATTAGGTACTTTATTACCGGTGTGTCAATGTTTCTTGCTTATCCTGAAGTCACATGCTTTAACAATACAAGGCACTTTGGTCTCCATCCTCTGGTACACTAACCTGAGGCTTGGAGTAATTGCAGAAGAAGTGGGACAGAAAAATTACACTTCCTATCTGTCCTTTGCTCAGTCTTACCCTAGACAAAAGTTTACATACTACCCAGATGACTGAAGACACAGATCTGATGAAGCACTCAACAAGTTCTTGTGACCTCTGTTCTCCCTGGCAATATAAACTTCATGCCAGACTCTGTCAGGAGAAATTCTCAGCTGTTCCCTTAGGGCAGGGTTCCAGCTACTTCATGTTGAGGTTTAACCGAGTAGAAAATGAGCATCTGTAATATTCCATGAAACATCAAGCGTATCTTTCATTATTAAAAATATATAAATCTTTCAAAATCATAATAATTTCAAATGCATGTCCATCTGCACTTGCAGTCAGTAGAGACCAAAAGAAACAAAAATCTCGCTAATATCTAAGGGCATTAATTAAACAACTTGATCAAAAAATCAGACTGTGAGCAGCGGTTCACAAAGAGCTGATTTTCCACTATATTTGTGGCTGAGGGTTTATACAAGGGATGCATCTGGCTGTTGTTAAGGGTTTCTGCTCCCGCAGGTGTAAGTGTGCTCAGAGCTGCAGGGTGACCCCCTTTCCACCGGGGCTTGCATTACTGCAGCAGCGCCCACTGGCGACCCCGCAGCGGAGCACCTGCGCTGGGCGCGCTGAGCGCTCGGCACCGCGGCCTCCGGCAGGCTGAACATCAACTCGGCTGAGGGAAATGGTTTGACTTATTCTCATCTGTATCATGGGCGGGGGGAGAAAAAGCTAAAAGGGAGAAGAAAAAACGCTTCCCTTTGGGTTTCTTGTTTGTTACACTTTCATAAATTTACAGCAGGCTCGTTCATAGTTTCTGAATCTTCAAGCAGATTTAAATAATAAAACTAAAACATCAGGTTACTTAATCTAAGAACAGTCCTGCAATACAACTCATGGCCCAGTCCAGGAAAGCACTTAGGAATATATTCTGTGCTTCTCATAATAAGAATACTATTGGTCAAATATCTGTAAATACTTATCTAAAGTTTAAGGTTCTCCTTAAATTATTTTTAGGATCAGAAAAATCACAAAAAACTAATGTTCTTAAAATCTATTCACTCGTAGTGACAAAAATTGCATATATGTTATGTTTGTATAACTTTAAGGCATTGTATATGCTGATAAAATCCTTTCCAGACATTCATTTACAATACCCACCACAATTAATTTAAATTTTTCACAAATGAGATAATATATGTTGATATGGATCAAATCAGTATATCCCAAAGAATTAGCCTATGTTTTGTCATCAGAGAAGATGTACCATAGCAAGGAGCAACTGAATTACTGTTTCAGAGTCAGTCATGTCACTTCTCTAACAGTGAAGGTCTTACAGTAGCAAAATATGAAGCAGCCTTAGAAACAGTTACATAAAGAGAGCAGTCTCTCAGTTCATCTTGATTTGGACCAGTGTTGGGAGCAAGTACACTGAGGCTGCTGAGCTTTGTTGAGTTCTGCTATGGCATTTCAAACTGCTAGCATTGCATTCAAGCTGTTCTGGCAATCTATCTCCCAATGTTCCAGGGAGGCTCATTTTGCAGGAGGAGGTCCCCCCTACCAACTCCCCAGAGGTAATGCACTTTGGTCACACAAAACCTCATGCACTCAAACGGTCTTTATTTGAAAATCATAAAAAGTGAGCACCCTGTTCTGTTTTGACACTTCAACTATTGTTTATTTTTTTCTGTCCACAAATGAAACAAAGGCAACAAAAAACCCAACATCAAGTAAACATTTTTCATTATATTATCAGTTCTGCAAATTCCAGTGGACATTAGATCAAGCTCTTTGACAAAAAAACCCGGCTCTATACAAAAGGAGAGACTTCAACGCAGTTTTCCATAATTCCACTTAGAAATACAAAAAAGCTAAGCAGCAAGGGAGAATTTCCACCATGTCGTCAGAACATCCACTGGAAATGACTGAACTGTTGATCTACTTTCATCATAGCTAATAACCAGAGAATGCTTTAATTATCAACAAGATCCTTAGCAGTCCCTGGAAGGTCTTCCTCATGTCGTATTCACACATGCTTTCAGGTTGATGAAACAATTATGGCTTTAAATATGTAGGTGCTTAACTTCTCAGTGAAACTTGCAATGATCTCTAATTTTGCCAAATGTACTTCATATTGCTGCTGTTACCAAAAACCCAGTTATACCATGTGATGCAGGAACTAATAACCCAGGTGTGTTTTCATCTGTAATCCTAGACATTTTAACAATTACTAAAACTGTATGGGATGGAGGAGGTGATCAATAAAAGTAATAGCAGTTTCAGAAAACATTTTCCAGCAAGTTGCAACAGGAGTGGTTATGGTGGGATGCCAGTACTACCACTATGCTAGCAATGTCATAACTATGCAGGAAAATAAAATAACAGAAAATCCATATAGGGACCCAAAAAACACTCTGTGGACATCTAAAATAATGATCAGTGCTGTGATCGTGTAACATAAATATTAAAATGTAGTCAAAATATTTGAGAATTTGCAAAAGAATACATGCCATAGAAATGTTTAGGAATATGGCAATTAAAAAAAAAAACAAGCCATAGGGAATTTAATGAGCCTGGCAGTCAACTCCTCTATATATCTTTCCCTTTCAGGATTTAGAGTGGTGCATTTTCAAGATGACCCTCTGCCACTTCTAAGATGATCCCCTAGTTTGTCTTCAAGGCAAGGAGAAAGAAACGTCCTGACTCTCCCTGCACCCAGTCACCCCCTCCCCAGCGGCGGAAATCGCTTCTCAGGGGAGAGATGGAATGGGAGCGGGGCTGTCGGGGCGGCGGAGCCCCGGGTGCGGGGCAGCGCGGGGCGGGCAGCGGCAGCCAGGAGCGGACGCTGTCCCTGGTGCTGAGCACCGCCCGCCGCCGCTCCCCGCCAGCCGGGTCTGGGCACGGGGAAGACAGAAATAAAACAGCCGAGAAATCAACCGGTGGTAAAAATCGCCGCGGTGGTCACATTTGGCATGCAGGATCGCGTTTTTACAAATAAATGCATAGATCTGGGTCTTAGAGAAAACTACTGGACGAGGTTAACTCCCAACATTGCTACCTGCGCTGCCACAACTAAGCGGCTGTGCACACAGACATGCTTGTGTGCATCCACACTGGTGCTTAGGTCTCTGTCTCACTGATCGGCTAGTGATATCGCTGTCCCCCTCAATCCATAATGAATCATTTTTGCACGTGGGGAGATCAGCTTTGATTATTAAATCAGTAACAGACGGGACTCGCTGAGCAGTGCCAAGTGATTTGTCCCAAGGTCACACAGAAAAGTCTATGGCTGAGCTAAGCCTGGCTATCTCCAGAAAAAAATACATTCTTGTTTCCATCATACCTTCCTAGTGAGACAAATCCCCACTTGTGAGCTGAGGGACTATATTACACACATCACCAAGCCTAGGTATGATGGCATCCCCAGTCCCTGCAGCCCCACACAAATCATGCTCCTAGGGAGGGATCAGTACCAGCTGCCCTCCAGCTCCCCGACCCCATAATACCCCTGCAGCCTCTAGAGAGGTACCCCACCAGTTGGCTTGTTGGTGCCCCAGGAGTTGTGCTAGTCCTCCATCAACCAGGGCACAGAGCAAAAGCAAGAAAGGAAGGAGAGGGGGGAAGAGTCCCTCCTTCATCTACAAGGTTTCTGTCCACAATCCAGGGCACATAAATACCCTCTCCCAACCCACAGCATTACCTTGTCAGTGGCAGCAAGTGCTTCTTCCCATAGTGGTGGCAAAATGGTCCTTTTGGTAGGAATAATTAAGACAGGTAGGGGTAGGCACCTCCTATTTTCAGCCACGGCAGAGATAGCACTCCTCACACAGTCCTTCTGGAGCTGAATAATCCTCAAATGCCTCTGCAAAGATCACCAGCAGGTGAGCTCCACTCGGCTAGCATTGTCACTCCTCCAGCTATGGGCACATCCTATTTTCTTCTGATCACAGGCAAATGCTGAGGACCGAGTATGCTACCCCCGCGAATGCATGCACATACACGCCATGCAACATGCTGTTCTCTCAGCATCGCCCAAATCTCATTTGCAAGAGGCGTGAACGGTGCCTGGATTTAAGGGAGGGGGAAGGCATGAGGAGGAGGAATAAACAAACAAACGATGAAACAACAGATGGGTCTTTGCTCTCTGCCACCACAGCCTTGGTCTTCCTAAATACTTGCTGCAGCCTGACCCACCTGCTTAAACACCTCCGCCCTTCCTCACATTTGCAATCTTTCTACGTTTATAGTGAGCTAACCCTGAGTTCTGCCCTGTGAGGAAATCTCTCCAGATGCTCTGAAGGTTGTAAAGTCCCCCTACAAGCCGACACCTCTCTCCGGCAGCTAAGAAAGCGGCAATCGTTTCAGAAAAGCATCATCCAAAGGCAGGGGAAAAAAAGAAGCGGGGGGGGGAGGGGGGGGCGGGGGGGGGAAAAGAAAAAAAAAAAAAAAAAAAAAAAAAAAAAAAAGGGCTGTTTAAAACGGAGTCGCAGGGACGAGTTTACCCCTGCGGTTCCGGCGACCTTTTGCGAACTGCCCCCGAAGTTTCCTGTCCGCCCAGGTCGCGGTGCCGGGGTCCCGGCACTCCGCTGCCGCACTGGGCTGGGACGTGAGGGGGCTTTTCGTATGGGCGAGTACCGGGCTTCAGCGCAACTTTTTAGTGCCACCAAGTGGCACAGATCCCTCCAGGAAACCAAGCAGCATGCCAGCTAGGGCTCTGCCTGCTGCTCTCTGGCAAAGGGGGAGAGGGATGCAAGAGCAGCGACCAGCCCTTTACACAAAAATGCACAGGCAGAGACAGAAATATGAACCAAAAAGGAGGGAAGGAAGGACAGGTTGCCCTCTCCAGCTTTCTCCCGTTCTTTCGCCTGCAGGGTGACAACACTGGGCACGGCAAGATGAGGACCGATGCCCCCGCCAAGGGCAAACCGAGCTGGCAGCCCCTGGGGCGGGCTGTGTCCCCTGCTGCTGTCCCCCGCGGGCTGCCCCCCGCTCCTCCCCACGGCAGGTGTTACCTGCAGCCACCCTTTCCTGCCCGGCTCTCTCCTCTCTGGTATCCCGGGCTCTCTGGACACAGAGGCTCTGCAGTTCCCTGCCAGCTCTCTGCTTCCTCAGCCAGCATCCCTGGACCGTATCTGCAGACCTATGGACAGGCTTTTTATTTGCCTACATTCTGCCCACAAGCTCGGTACCCTCCGAGCCCTTCCGCTTCCCCGCCCTCCCACAAATCCCACAGCAACACTCTCGCCCGCTGACTACCTGCTGCCCGCAGAGCACATTTACCTTTCCTGGGTTAACCCTTCCCTTCGGAAGCCAGACGAAGCTTCACCTTCTCCTCCGGTATCCCTGCATTTTCCCAAATCCTCTCCTCTCCCTCTCTCCCCCGTTTGACGGCTCAGCCCCACACACCCGGCTGCTGCTTCCATTCACACCCAGCCATCCCGCGCCGCCCCGTTCCTCCAGCCGCGGTGGGCACGGCGGCTGGGAGCGCGGCTCGGGGGCTGTGGCGAGGCGTGGCTGGGTGGGAAAGGTCCGAGGCAGCCTGAGCCCTGACAAACTCAACACATCCCTGCATCCCTACTGCAACACCAAGGAACACCAAGGAACCAACACAACACAATGCCAGACAGGGATCATATCCTTCTTTAAAGCTGTTCTTAGCAAATAAATAAATAGAGTAAAATGAGTTAATAAATAAATAATAAAGCAAAATGCCATTTAAGGAAGAGCTGATCTGGCATTTAAAAGGCTGCTGACCATTTACCAGGCTGTATTTGCAGGGAAGGATTAGCTCATGCATCCATTTTCAAGAATTAACAGCCTTTCTCTGCCACTGCTCCACAGCTTGACACTCCCTGCTGGTTCTCCCCTCTTTGGGTTGCTGCTTAAGATATTATCTCCTTTTATTTTTTTAAAACAGCTGCTGAATGACCCAAATCCCAGCCACTACATGGTGTGACTCCCCCAGTGCAACTGCATTGCCATGTCCAACCTGCACTATGTCCTCCTCACTCCCCTGCCCCTCCAAGTTAACTTTGATAAAGTTGCTAGAGCATAGAGGAAAAGTCTTCCTATGATTCCATCTGTGTCTCTAATTCCCTGTGATCCCTTTATTGCTGTCTCTCTCCCACCAGATTACCAGCTTGACTGCTTCTTTCATCCCAGATTGTGAAGGATAGAGATCCCACATGTCCTTACCAGGTGTGGAGTATGGCCTCTTTCTCCTTCACATCATCCTTCAGTCCCAACCAGGGCATGGCTGGAAGCCTATCAGCTGGCACCTACTTCACACCCTTACCCAGCTCTCCTGGGTCCTTCAGTCATGGAAAATACCAGGTCTTAAGCAGAGGGCACTGTGAGTGTGTGTGACTCTAACTCTTTGCTTCCTCTATACAGTTCCAAGAACTTCTGTGCTGGTGCTTAAAGGGATCAAGATGGATTATTACATGATAGGGGAGATGGGAGACCCCAGTAGTTACCATTCCTGTCACTGCCCTGGTGAGCTGACAGATAAGGAGAATCTTTCCTGTTCCTCCCTAGATCCATGCTTCTCTCAGACACTCACCTTTCTCATTCTTCACACTTCTCAGACTTCATTCCTTCACATTAACCATGTGCTGTGAAATGGCTAGAAGGTCAGGAGCCTGGAGACAGGGAAGAAGAAGGGACATATATTTGCACAAAAACAAACAGAGAGGAGGGGAGGGTTGTATCTGTAGAAAGGAATGGAGAGACCAAAAGCAAAGTGATATTGCTGAGCAAAGGGTTCTGGAAGGAATCAATGTTGGATGAACTGGGGCAGAGGGGAGGTGCCATCACTTTGCTGGGCTGTCACAGCAGTTATCTGCCTTCCCCTGGGACTGCATGTGTGATGAGGGAGTTGGAAAGCAGGCACATCTCATTGGCAACAGAGACAGCCAGCTGGCTGGCAGGGAACAGGGTGACCCCAGCAGGAGATGGAGAGGATCCCCACACAAGCAGGACAAACAGATCAGTGTGGAAGCAGCCATAGGGGATACAAAGCAGCTCCTACACACACATCCCCAAGGACTCCCTGTGAATCACAGCCCAGAGTCAGAGTTCATTGTGCCAGATGTTTGGAGCAGCTGGATCAAAGATTAAAGGAGGCAAGCAGAATGGATGGGGGCAGCCATGGCATTTGCATTCCTAATGCCTCTCATTGACCTTTTAAATGGGGTCCCAATAAATACAGATATATAAAAGGTCCTTCTCCTTCGCTCTCTTTCTCCCTTTTCTCCCCTCCTCCCTTTCCATCATTTTCAAGCATTTCACAGAATCCATAAAATTGGCTGCTGTCTTCTCTACTGATGGTAGATTCAGTTTCCCCTACTACCAAGTTTTCCCTCTTATTTTGATACTATTTTTAAAGTTAGCAAAAAGAAAGCTTTCCCTTCCTGTTTGCAACAGCACCAGCAAAAGATAAATAAACTGGTACCTGAATAAGGAGACATAATGACTACAATTTACAATGTAATACTCATTACTTCTGTGGCAGTAGCACCTATAAATACTAATAGATTTGCTGTATCTCTGCACTCTGAGGAACTTGTACCTACAGAAAATTGCAGGGGGGAAAAGAGTATGAGTAAGTCTCTGCTATAATCAGTGTCTCTAAAGAGCATTCTAACCACACTAACATTTTAAGACAGAAAATAAGGAGGCTAAGGGAATACTAATTTGGATTCTCCTCAGTTCCAGAATTAATAAATCTTATGGGAGACAGGCAGCAAAATCAAAGTGTGGACAAGAAGGTGATATTGTATTGACCAAATAAGCCAAATGTCTGCTTTCTTGCAAAGTAATCTCTAAAACAAAGAAAAAAAAAGGGAAAAATTGATATATGTTTGTATGCATATTATATATACATAATATACATTATAAACATATATCTATATTGTATATAAATACATGGCAGTATTTGCTCCCTTTTGAATAAGATGAAATAATCCAGCATTCTTATAGTTCATTACTTACTTAAAATCAAGAAAATTACTCTTGCCTACCTAGCAGGAATACTAATGATAAGTCTGGAGACAAAAAAGGTGCAGAGTATGCTATGCAACACATATTAAAAGAAAATCTAGCCTGCTAGGGTATAATAATATTTTAGACTCTTTATCATTAGTTGGTGTTATACTTCCACCCTTGCAAGGGCCTGATTTTATATGTCTCTTTTGTAGAGATTTATGTATAAACTTCATACACTCCTAAGAATTCTCCTAGTTTCAGCTACCATAGGGTTAAGTTCTTCTCAGTGGCAGTTGCATTGCTATGTTTTTGGATTCAAAATGAGATCTTCTGGGGTTTTCCTAAGTCACGTTTATCCTAAGTCAATGATTTTTTTTTTTTTTTTCTTTTCTCTTGCTCTGCCACTGCATAAAATAAATTAGGAGAGAACATAGTCGGGACAGGTGACGTGAACTGACCCAAGGGATATTCCAAACCGTAGAGCTGTCATGCCCAGTAGATAAACTGGGGGGAGTTACCCAGAAGGGGAACAAATCAAGGGTCATGAAGAGGCGTCTGGAACTGGTCAGCAGATGGTGAGCAATTGAATTGTGCATCACTTGAATTTTCCCAAATTGTTATAATTATCATCATAATTTACAATCACTACCATATTTTATTTGATTTTTGATTATTAAATTCTTCTTGTCTCCACCTATTTTGACTCTCCTCCCTGTTCCACCAGATTGGAGGTAGGGAAGAGGGGGTTTGCGTAACCAGCTGTGTGGTGTTCAATTTCCAGCTGGGCTTAAACCACTATGGAGTAAATACAGGAATATTTTCTTTTTTGAGGTGAAGTTCATGTGATCTACCTTAAACATTTCATTTAGGATGACAAAGAGGGAGATATCAAGATGCATCCACTTCTCTTCAGAGATTCCAAAGTAAATCTACTCCTCAGAGGGATATCCACAGTTTGAAAGCTCCAGTGTACTTTCAAGGAATCTGACCAATTTTTCACTCTTGGTTGTGCATAGGTATAAAGGAGACAATGAAATACCCAATACATTGAAGGCTTTTCTAGTTCTGTGCAAGGAAGCAACCCAGATCTTAGAAGCTGGGAAAAATCAGAAACTCCAAACTGAACCTAGGTCTGAAGCTCCTTCAATGCTATTCAGGCCTCTAGTAAGGATTTTTACCTTAGATTTGGATTTAGAATCTAAAATTAGAAATACCTGTAAGATCTGGTTTGGCCTGACCCTTCTGCTCACCAGTGGAAAACAGGACATGTGAGAGGAAGACAGAATACAGAGCTCTGAGAATGATGCTTGCAAGAAGTCGTAAAAGGGGAACAAGAATTTATCTATGGAGGTTTATGTGAGTAACAGGGTGCATCAGGTGTTGCTAAGAGCTTGCAGCACACAAATATCCTCAGATTTACCCACAAGAAATTAT